AAAGAAATTCTTATTTCAACTTTTAACACATTTTTATAATGTAGTATCAATCTGTTCCTGTTGTATAAGCTAACTTTCATTTGCCCAACTCCTGATCATCCAATTGTATACACAGTTAATAATGAGATTCGGCCACAGTAATCATGCTGGGAGTTTTAACTTAGTAGTTATACTTATCTGTCGCTCAGCCAGCATTCATATGAAATGATGAACAGCTTTGGACTCCATGTGGACACAACTGAGGCATACATCATGACCAACCATGCCCTATCATGCTAGCTCTGTTTCTTCCCAAACTCAGAGCCATCCTTTGTGGGCTGCAACAACACCCATTGAATGGTTTTCTCCACTGTTCTTGTAGATCACTAACCCTCTACCTCATTTATTTAAGCCTGTTTCACATTTATGAAGGAAGGAATTCTCTGACCAAAAGTATGCACACAGACAGAGAGGGAATCCTCTCCCCCAAGGTTATACAAGATGCAGGGTTTGAGGGCACAAAAGGGCTCAAGTAGTAGTGTATTTAGTATGTCAGCTTGAGTTCTTTGCTAAGAAAGAGGTTATTTCTAGATGTTAGACAACTTTGCTTAGTACAACTAGTGCAATGTTGCTATTCAAAGTCATAGATAAAGTCTCAAGTCCTTATGGGTCAGTACATGAACATTAACTCCGATTTCCAGGAGTGCTGCACATCCAGAACTGGAGTCCAAGTTATTTGCAACAGAGAAGCTAAACGTCTCAAATGACTTACAAGAGTCCTGATGAAAACTTTACACTGACTGAGGTGGCAAACAAGTTTTAGTCAACTCATCTCTCTAAAGTAATGCTGATGCAGAGGAGCTGGGCCAAAAAAAAAAGAAAAGAAAAAGAAAACAAAAACAAAAACAAAAAAAAACCAGTAAGCAGAATGATTATTTGCATTTCATATTGTGTTCCTTTGTTCCACAACTCTAAAGTTTTGAGAATAAGGCAGTTAGTTTGCCTCTATCTTTTTGGAGAGGTTTACATATCCCGACAAAAGCTACAAGAACTACATGTTGTTGCAGTTTTAAGTAGAAAATCTGAAAAAGAACACCAAACAATTTCAATGACTTTGTTCACTATTTCAGGACTCCAAAGTTCATGACAGTTGGAAAAAGCCAATTTGGATAATAGCTGCTTTTAGCACCCAAAGGCAAACTGGGACAGGAAGAAGGGAATGAGGCAGTTAGTATAGTATTAAGTTGAAGTCAGGCAAAAGGCAGGGCAGATCTGCACCTTGTAGATTAAGTCAGAGATGAATAATACCAGATGTACAGCATGAGCTATACAGGTTAATCTTGTACCAAAATTTTACTCCCAGCATTTTAAGAACATTTCTTGCACTACAGAATTGAACTGAAGATAAGAAAAGAATTCTTTAAATCTAGTTAAAGTTTCTGCATATTATAACCTTATTGCCAGCATTTCAAACAAACAAACAAACAAACAAACAAACAAACAAACAAACAAACAAACAAACAAACAAACAAACAAACAAACAAACAAACAAACAAACAAACAAACATCATCTTTGCTTCCAGATTGTATATTCTCCCAGAGGACCACTTCCTACGAAACAGGATTCTTTGGTCTCAAGTCCCATACAGTTATGACAATTTTATTGTCAAGTCAAATTGCAAGAGACATTGCAAGATTCTACATGGTTTGCACCTTAAGAAACAAGGTTATATGCACAATTCAGAATTGGATACCACTTTGACTTTTACTATAAACAGTTTCAGGGACTATCCACTCACTGTATTCAAGCATATAGGATAATTCACTCCAAAAGGGGAAGTATGGCAGAAAGGTTTATAGGATCCTAAAGCACCCCAATTTGTCCATTTGCCACAAAACCAAACTAAGTCATGCACAGTCATTAGAGAAAAGTAACATGGTTAGTAAAAGCAAAAGTAGGACTTTAACTGTTCAGTGTATTCAAAAGTTCAGACTGTTACACATTGGTGGATACTTCTGAACAGGCCTCAGCTTGTACAGATACCTCCTCATCTTTACAAGTTGTCCGAATAATTTAGTTTAAACTTGAAAAATGAGGACAGGGCACAAGGGTAATCTAGTTATGGTAACAGCGTTTGACAGACATCCTCCTCAGGGGCACTAGGAACTTGTACATTCTTTCAAGAGTTCACCTGAAGAATACAATGACCAGCAAACTTCAAGCTCTACACCCTAATTGGGCTGCTGCAAGCAGGACTTTCACTACAGGACCTCTGAAGATTTTCACTATAGAAACTATAGCTGTATATGGGCAGCTATGATATTTTTCTAAAAAGAAAGTTCAGATCTGAAACAAAGCCACTAATCCAAACAAACATGAGGCCAAGCATTAAGACTTAGGTCTCAAAATTTAGATTTCCGTTCTGAAAATACAGCCTGATCAGTTTGCAGCCCCAAACCTAAACCTGAGCTTGCAAAAACATATAGTTTCCTCAATTCATCCTCTTGATTGGAAGAAAACCTCAAAAACAACTGGCAGAGACATCATATGAATAAATGGACAACAAAAAAAAAAGAATTAAATCAAATAGCTTTTAAACTCCTTTAGTAACCCACTTTACAAAAAATGCATTAAAATTCACAGAACACATACCAGTAGCACTCAATAGTTGATATAGAATGCAAAAGCCGATCACCTTTCCCCTTTTTTTACATTTCTACTGGAAGTTGATAGAAGATACTTAAAAAAATAACTCCCAGAGAAGTCTGATTTTGTTTTTAACAGCCATTTTGTAGGCTTAGTTCGCTGGGCAGTCCTCTATAATAGTTAGAACCAACGTAACCTCAAGAGGCCCAAAGCTGAACACAGATAAGCTACCATCTTCCTTTAGGAAAGAGTTATTGAAGCACACTGGCAAAAGCATACCAAATGGCTTGCACTGCAGGTTGTGTGTTTCATCACCTCCTCCATAGTATAAAGGTTGCCCGGTTTTGAAAGCACATTAAATTTATCATCTTTTAAACAAATTGTTAGACATTACACTTCCAATGCACTGCTACCCATATTTTAATTATGGTTTACATACCCAAAGATTCCTTTCATGGGAAAGCTTAATACTTTTTTGCTATATCAGTGTATATTTAGATATATTTGCATGTATTTGCAGACAAGACTAAGTGCCAACAGGATGAAATTTCAAAGTTAGAAGAAGCTACCGGAATGAGCACTGAAGTCTTGGATAATAGGAACCAAGAAGATGGAACAGTCTACAAACCAGACTATTCTGAAGACACTATATATACACAATTTAACAATGTGCATAAAGTTACATGAAGCCTGAGGCACGCAGTGTTGAAGTTCTGTAACACCCATGAGGAAAGTGTGATAGTATATGCATCCTTCTACAAAGATGGTTCTGTAGAAGCGTGCAAAACTGGCAGGGATTCTAACCATTTTCTACTTTGTTTGCAACTAGATACCACTTCTGATAGTCTTGCTTTGAGGACCAACTAGTAGGTTCAGTCAGAAGTCAGAGGGTTTTTTTGCCCACACCATGCAACAAACAACTTGATACTAACGTTAAAAACAGCGAGTTGAGAATGGTACCGTCCACACAGTATTTTATAGTTCATATATAGTGATGGAAACTGAAGTTTAGAAAACTGTGCCGAGGACCAAGGTCTTTAAATAGCAATACTACAAAGCTAGAATGATTTCCCCTATAAGTTTGCTTTGAAGTGTCCAAAAAACCTTTGCTCCAAAAATTGGATGCAAGAAACTGTACCACATAGCTAAGTTACCCTAAGGAGGTCAATACTGTGCACAAGACTCTACAGCAAGGCACCCTAATGCAGCAAATGGAATATATCCAATTGCTTTATACCAGCCATTTGGCTTATGTTAGTTTGAGTTGGCCAATTAGCACACCTGCACACTGCTTTGGAGACTCCTAGGCAGTTTACAACTTTCTCCGACAGAGACCTCCTTTTTTCTTACTGCATCAAAGCCTTGTCCATCACTTAATTCATCTGCTTTTCCATCCTACGGAAAATAAGAGGCCCATCTCATTAGAAAACAAATCTCAAAAATGCAAGTTTTAGAAATGAATCCAACACCAGAAATTCTAGCGTCTTTAAAAAGAGGCATAGTAATATTCATATCGAGGACTTTGGACATTGCTATAGTGAACCTCATGCAGTTTAGTACTTAACTTGGAATGGTAGAAATTTTAGACTTGCCACCACTACCACCACCAGTGCAAACAAGCAACACCCTCCCCCTATTCTATTTAGACATGCTAGTCAAGTGTTTCAAAAATTATACCAGCCTTATTATATAAAATAACCTTACTCCCATTTTTAGTCACCCAGTGTTTTACGTTACCCACTCGTTTTACTTCAAGTTCAGCTTTCTGTCTGCGTTCCCGTCTCTAGATACAAGAATTAACCACTCTGATGGTGAACCAGCTTTGACCGATGAGATCAATGTAAATTACATTTAACAAATAAATAGAACAAGATTTGTTTTGAAGGAAGCTTTGAACAGAATGATGCAGAGTTTCTGACAACCTCTGCACAAAGTAGAGCTACTGCAGCTGTTCTCCATTTTCTTCCAAGACTAGTTCAAACATAAATACCACTCCATATTCTTTTCTGAATGGTGCGCTTCAAGTGTCAACATTTTCCCATGGTATTAAAACCTGCTACTTTTGTATGCGGAGTAAGGCCCAAGACAAAAACTTGCCTGTCACTGGGTCCTGCAATGGCTTGCATTTTCTACATCTCTAAAAATAAGCTATTGTTAGCAGAATTGCCAAAACATTCCAGAAGAGCTTATACCATATGAATTCATCTGGAAATGTACATTTAAAACAAAATTATAGCTGGTGCTGCTTGATCTAGAAGTTAAATACCTACAGATACAAGGTTAAATCAAGCTTAAGTATAGTTAATATACAAGTAAACACAGACAACCCAAGAACTTGAGCCCTGGGCCACGCCCATTTTGTGGAACTGCAATGCACATTTAGATTTTGCTCTTCCAAAGCTAACCGACTATTTTAACTTAATGTATAAGTGCATATCCTATGAGGCCAAGCAGCATCATTACTGTATTAAATACAAGAGGCAGAAAAGGCCATCTTGGCTTTTCAGATGCATGAAGATTTCCAATTCTGGCAGTTTAGTCAGACTTGTAATTCAAGCAAGAGTGACATGGAAATCTAAAGTGTAGAACTATGCAATGCAGCTTACAAAGCTTCCAACTAACACATGATTTAGTCTGATATACTAGCATTAAAAGCTTAATGCCAACTCACTTCTTTGGGTTCCACATCAAACTTCTTTGGCACAACACTCGCAGCTCCCAAGGACTTTGGAGGATTCTGTAACTGCTGTGATTCTTGTTGCTGTCGGTCAGCAGTTTCCCAAGCCTTTGGAGGCTCTTGCTTCTGCCCCGACTCCTCCCTATTATGTGGAGGAGCCCATGACTTTGGCAGCTCCTGCTTCTTCTGCTCTGGCACCTCTTTGGCACGTGGAGGAGCCCAGGGCTTTGATGACTCCTGCTTCTGCTCTAGCACCTCTCTGGCATGTGGAGGAACCCAAGGCTTTGGGAGCTCCTGCTTTTTCTGATCCGACTCCTCCCTGGCACGTGGAGCAGCCCAGGGCTTTGGCAGCTCCTGCTTTTTCTGCTCTGACTCCTCCTTAGCACATGAAGAAGCCCAAGGCTTTGGCGGCTCCTGCTTTTTCTGCTCTGGCTCCTCCTTGGCACGTGGAGAAGCCCAAGGCTTTGAGGGTTCTTGCTTCTGCTCTGGCTCCTCCCTGGTTTGGGATCCCCAAGGTTTTGGCAATTCCTGCTTTTGCTCTGGCCCTTCTTTAATTTTTGTTACCCAAGCCTTAGGGGGTTCTTGTTTCTTCTGTTCCTGTTCTTCCCTAGCCTTTGCTACCCAAGGTTTGGGAGGTTCCTGTTTCTTCTGTTCCTGCTGTTCCCTAACTCTTGCTACCCATGGTTTAGATGAATCCTGCTCCGCCCTAGCATGCGTTACCCAAGGCTTTGGAGTCTCCTGCTGCTTCTGTTTTTCTTCTTCTTCCCTAACACAGGTTTCCCAGGACTTTGAAGGTTTCTCTTCCTCCACAACACGAGATTCCCAAGGTTTTAAAGATTCCCGATTCTGTTCCTGCTCCTCTATGTCAAGCAGCATTTCCCAGGATTTTGGAGGTTCTTTCTTTCTAGCATACTCTGCTTCCCGGGGTTTGGATTCTTCTGGCTTCTTCTTGATAGAGCATTCTGCTTCAGGCAAATAGCGCCTGTTGAGAAACTATATAGACCAAACAAACTTAATGCCTCCCAGGAAAAACATTTTGCTACTACAGTTCAGGTCAATTTGCAAGTTAGGTCACTCAAGCAGAAATAAAATACTTCCTGACCAAAGCAAAGAACCTACGCAGGTACTTTACGTCTACCTCTGTTATCCTCCAACTAAAAAGCCAGTGTTCTACCCTATAAAAACATGGTCACTGAATAGTTCCTCTCCTGAGAAAGTTGCAGGAGAGTGCCACAACAGAAGTGGAAATAAAAAGCCACAAAACCATCTAGAAGCACAGCATGCCTAAAATGAGTAACCATGTAATCTTATGGTGTCAGCTGTTGTCTCCCCTCACTACATACCTTTTGCTATATTAGCCACAATTATCATGTACAGTTTTTATGATTTCTGCAGGAAATAACCTGATCTCTTTACTATTTTGGGAACTATTAATACAATTTCCTTTAAATGAGAAAGGAAAGTATTGATTTCTTTGTTGCTTCTTTGAACTTACGAAAAATAGTAGGCAAGCATAGCTCTTCCTGTTCTTCTCAGGAGTTTTAAACCTAGCAAGTAACCAGATGGACTACAGTTGAACATCCAGAACAAGATTCCAATAAAATTAGTGCTTAAGCATGAGCTAGGATTTAAAATAACCCCCAAACAAACACTCAGATTTGAGATTTCTAGGCCACTGCAAGCAGACAGTAGTGAAAAAAAAAATCTCTCTACTTCCAGATCTTGAACTACTTTGCTCTTAAATTCTTTGCTAGTACTAGTCAAACCAAACTTTTTGGTTGGACAGTGTTTAGACCAGTGGTTCTCAGCCTTTCGTTCTTGAGATGCCCATCATTCTGCTCAAGGTAACCCTCAAAGTGTCAGCTCTTACTTTTCATTCCTTTTGACTACAGAAAAAGAACTCTGGTGCAAAGAACTCAGAAAGACAACAGATCAGAATGTTTTTTTAAATACTAAGAATTCCTAGTTGAAATCAATTTACATTGCGAATCTTTTGCATGCCCAACAGTATTATAGATGGCAAGGCACCTCGCAACACCTCTGAAAGGATCCCAAGGCACCCTAGTTGAGAATCACTGATCTAGACAGTGCTTGATTAGTACATTAGCAAAAAGTCTCCTTTGCTCTGCTCCCTCTTGTGGGATATTTGGGAACTGAGATACTACTGTGAGAGCTCTGACATTTTACCCAGAAAGCCTCCTTATAAAAAAATATTTAATTACAAAAAAGGTTTCGGCTTTAGGGCACTGCAAGTTCATAATGATTATGTTACTCCAGTCCCAAACAGGAGTATGGACATCTGAAATCTAAGGTCAGTTGAAACAAGCTAACTGGA